CGTCCGCCGGCGGCGCGCAGAGCAGGAGAGACGGGGACGTGCGGTCCCGGCCGCAGGACCCCAGGACAGTGCCTCCCGCGTGCAGAGCTGCCGGCCACCCTAACTGGACCCGGGAGGAAGCCGGGAAGGGTCGTGACGGAAATTTTTAGCTGTTGATCGCACAGAAATGAAGTCCCCCCAAACCCCATCAGCTTCAGCAATACCTGTGGCTGAGACTCCGGAAAGAACTGTCGGGGGCATTTTCTCGGGCTGGGTGGAATCCATTGCGCTGATATCTGAGTTTCCCTTCACCTCTCGACTTCTGATGTTAGGGAATCGCTCACCAGCCACTGGGCTTTATCGAGGCCACAGATCTGGGTCCCCCTAAGCCGCTGCAGCCGAGAGAAAGATGCATCGGACGCATCTTGTGCATCTTTGACGGGGGCGGGGGGGACTGGCTCCCCAGGTAGTGGGATGCTGACTGTTAAAGGAGGGGTGCCCGGGCCTGAGAAGTGACTCTGTCTTTTCATTCAGTTCGATGACACGAGGGAGGAGTCCAGACCTCCTTCAATAAGTGAGCTTGCATATCCCAAATCCCAACCACAAGCTCTGAGATTAGTGTCTGCCCAATTGTGGTTGCTTAATTTCAGTAAAATGACCATAGAAATAGTTAATATCTATATGACACTAAGACTTTTTCATGTATACATTCTTGCAATGTCTAATCTTGCATCTAATTCTTGCAACGTCTATGAGGTAGATGTTATTAGCCCGTATTACAAACAAGGAAATCAAGGCACAGTTTGTTTTCCCAAAGGTTATTACGCTGTTAGGTGCAACGGAACAGATTGGCTCCAGAATGATTGCCCTTTTCTAGGGTCTGGGTGTACCTTTCACCGCACGGGAGGATTCACGAGTGTTTTCTCACCTCTAGGACCTGAGCACTGGCATCAGGACTTCCCCATTGCCAAGGGAGAGCGCCAGTCCCCTGTTGAGATCGACACCAAAGCAGTCAAGCATGACCCTTCCTTGAAGCCTCTGAGTGTTTCCTATGAACAGGCGACTTCTCGGAGGATCATCAACAACGGTCATTCTTTCAATGTAGAGTTTGATGACTCCCAGGACAAAGCAGGTCAGTGTTTAAAAAATAACTTGTGCTTTTTAGCTAGTAGCTGTTTTCCGAGCTTAATGGAAGGAGTCAGGAGCAGTGGCAGGCAACACCCCTTGATAGTACAGTTGGTCTTAGTACTCTAAGATGCCTCTCTGATAATCTTCATTAGGTCCCAGGCTCTGAGAAGTAAGCTAATTACTTTGAAGCGTCCTGGGGCAGTTTCTTCCCTGTGACATTCCTGGCTTCTGTGTAGCGCATTGAATAACTGTGACATGCCTATGAAAAGTCACAAAAGGCAAGGTTCCCTGATAATAATGATCAGCAACAATGAGATTTGCAAAAATTGAACTTCTAAGACTCTTTCTAAAATATATGTCTTCTAGAATTGATGCCTATCCATTAAAAAGTATAACTTAGTGTTATCTCGAAGGTAGCAGTGAGAAGAGTAATGAAAACTTGACAATTTAAAATACTGAAGTTCTTGGAAAACATTGTACATTTATGAGTATTTCTCGGTACTGGGATAGTGTGATAAAGGTGACAGTATATCTTACTAGCTGCCCAGAAATTCATTCCACAAACGGAAGTGTTTTAGAGTTGGTGGACATACCTGGCCCATTACTGACAAAACCAATCACCATCACTTATTTGTAATGGGGCTGTTTCCAGGATGCCTGCTGAATGCTTCTTTTTTCTTACTTAGAGAAAGGAGAACAATCCCATTCAGACATAGTAGCCAACTTCCCTGCTCACTGGTTGATTTAATTGCCAGTGCCCTATTTTCCTGAGTGCTTTCCTTTGAAAGTCATTGAATGAAGTAGTGCTGCAAACAGTTATGTCTGATGTTGGTGTGGGAGCAAGGGGAGTGTTGGAGCAAAATGAGAAAAGATAGAGGAAACGTTCAAGAATGCTGTCAAAGTTTGGAAGTAATGATATACAGTACTAGTATATTATATAATCTGTAATTATAAACATTCTGCTCAAGTTGACTATTCTTTTTCAGTAGCTATACAATATATTCAGTTCAGTTTTTTAAAAAAACTCTTCTTCCCTCCTCCCTTTTTAAAAAAATTTTGGATACAGCTTTCTGAAACCGTGATTCTGGAAAACAATTTGATGGGTAATAATGTGGAGATCATTTGAGAAATGTTTTCAACCTACATGTGCCCGTGTGCATCCCTCCCTAGTACACACACACACACACACACACACACACACACATACACTCACACATTCTAGCATAGTATCATGATTTATTAAAATCAAATAGAGGGTGTACATTGAAGACACTTTTTCAGTGATTCTGCCATATTACCTTATCAAGCATACCTCCTACTCCAAAAGAAACAATGCTCAAATGAGCAAATTAAACAAAAAGAAAACACTTTCTTTTTGTCATGTAAAGAATACAATATGTGTATAATACGGCAAGGTCAAAGGTCTCGAGGTATTGTATATATAGAAAGGATGCTATAAAATTTCATGTTTAGTCATTTAAAAACCAAAAGAAGTGAGCTACTTTAGTTTGTAGCTGTCACCGTTCTTTTTTTTTTTTTTTTAAGGGCCACAATGAAATCATTGTTTTCAATGGATGTAATGGCCATCAAATTATATACCTCATTGGATGCTACATAGAAATTGGATGTTTAAAGTCTTTTTTGGAACAATGAGGAAACAAATGTTTAACAAATGATAAAACCAGATGAGATAATTCCCTAAATTCCTTACAGAGTTGATTGCAAAATAAATTGTTCCAGTAGCATTTATTACCGGCAAGTGGATTTCATCGTATAGCCTGGGGGCTATGAGCACAGACTGGGGTCAGACAGACCAGGATTCCAGTTCCAGCTCTGCCACTAGCTAGCTCAGCAACTTTGGAAATGATACTAACTTAACCTCTCTAAATTTTAGTTTTTTTAAATTATAGATTTGGACTTATAGTAGTATGTGCCAAAGGGGAAGGGTTGAATGGGACAGTATACATAAAGCACCTAACCCGCTACCTGGTGCGTAGCAATTCCTCAATAAATTACCACTTTGGTTGTCATGACTACACACCATTTGACTGCCTTTGTTAGATAATTGCTGTAGCTGTGGTGCCTGTAATAACATTTCTGAAGAAACTTTTTATTTAATTAGCTGATTAGTTACCATCACTCAATGTTATTTTAAATTTTTATTTTTCTGTATTTCCAAACATCCTATGTATCATATTAAATATGTGCTGATTTTAATATATGAAGTCATTATGTAGTTATGTGTTTTACCATAAACATGTTATGCTCTGATGGATTTCTATGTGAGCAGTAACTGAGTAGAGCTACCAACATTTTTGCAGCTATTTCTTCTGCTGGGTAATGCATACATTTTTAAAGAAATTGGCCATATTTAGACTGTGAAACAGATCAAAACCAGTTGGTTCAGATAGGGGCTCCAAGCCATGTATTTAGAAACACAAGTCTTATCTACCTAGTTCTTTACAAAAAAATCATTCCTAACACCAGTTAAATGCATGATAAGCTAAGTAAACATCATGAAGGCAGGATGGAGGCCTGGTCACTCTCCTGTATCACCAGAGCCAAGGCTGGGGATAAATAGAAAGACCTAGAAATAATAGACATCGACAGTCACTTTGGTAAGTGCAAAAAGGAAGTATTCCAAGGAACTATGGAAACATGAAAGTGGCTTAGGAGTCTAGCTGTGTAAGTCAGAAAAGACTTTCCAGAGTAAATAAGGCTTATGTGGAGGCTTGAAGGATTTTAATGTCTTGGAGGAGACCCCAGGCAGAGGGAAATAGAAAACACCAGGGGACTTAAGAGAGCACAGTGTGTGATCTAGAAAGGCAAGAAGGTGTAATAAAACCAAGGGCCAGGAATGAATATTAGAAAGACTTGCTCTGTTTTGCATATGAAAGACTCCTTTGTAATTTTGCCTGTATCTCTTCTACATTTTCAGTTATTTTGGTTAAACAAGGATGCAGAATATATTAAAATGTTGATATTAAGGGAAAACACATCTACAGAATAAGTAAAAAGATAATCATACCATGTGTAATCATACACTCTTTAGATTTTTTTTTTCCGAAGAATTCTAGTCTCTTAAAACTGGAACAAACAGCAGAGATACTCTAGTCAAACCCTCTTTAAATAAACATGAAGAAACAGAAACCTGAAGAGTTTCAATAACTTGCTAAGTCGTCTCCTTCCTAGTTTGCTGGAGAGACTAAATGGAAATCATTTAAATATAGAATTTGAATAAGAATCTTTGAATGATAACCATAGTTAACATTTAGTTTGCACATACCATATTTTAAAAACAGGTATAGTTTTCTGTATACTTAAGTCTAAAAATAATTTATTCATTTTTGTCACTTAATTTTTTAAAATCAACAGTTTAACATCCCTTTTTTGTTAGGAGTTATTTTTATGGTGTAAACATTTTTTAGGTACCATTTTCCTCTGATTTCCTGCATTTAAATGCTTCTATTCATTTATTTATTTATTTTTCCTCAATGAGATTTTAGCCTCTAGAACATCTCATAAATTAAGGTTTCCCTATATGTCCTAAATGTTATCTTATATCCAAACTTAAGTACGTCAGTATCAGAAGCTGAATTGGTTGAGTTTATTGCTATGCTTAAGCTTGAGAGAATTCTTTTTAAATGTGGAGTTAAGAGGCTTTAATTAGAAGCTTGGGTTAAAGCTCTCATTAGTCTTCTAAACTCCTTTAAAAATAAACGACCTTAAACTAATGAAAAATTGCTAATCCTGTTAACTTTTTTTTTTAAGTATTTAAAAATAACTCTCCTTGCTTGAGATGTTTTATAATCAGTCTTATCTAGGAAAAAAGAGTAGTAGCCACAAATTATTAACTTCTGCTAGCTTATTATCTTTTGTTAATGAGTTTAAGACTTTCCTCCTTTATTGTAAATTAAGGAGTAAATATTGAAACCCAATGTCAGAATTGTTGGACCAACTCATATACACTTCTCATATCATTTCTGTTTTTTAGAAATCAAAATATTTTTGACCTGTTTATGTTGTTTCAAGAAAAAAGAAGCAGAATGCGATTACTTGTGCTCATTTCAAGCTGCCCATTGTCTGCATGGCATAATGGATCTTTGTACTTACGTCCTGCTTGATTTTCAGGGATTTGCTCTTTAGACTCTAACATTTTCTTTCCACAACCAATCACAAGTGAAAAGGAAGCATAACAGCAAATGAAAGGGCTTGTCATGCACGTGGTTAATGGTTCAGCACAACTCTAAGTATCTAGAAAACTGACCAAAGCATTCTAAACACTGTAGTTAATTATGTTCACATCAAAAGAGATTTTTTTTGACTCCTGTATAGCTGTTGAGTAGCTTAAATTAAAACTTCCTTTCTCTTGAATTTTTGACTGTGTTTACTCCAGTGAAAGTGACAGCTAAACATCTCATTGCTTTATGAGAAATGGAATATGGACATCTTTTTCTCAGATTTGTCTACATTCACATGTAGCTCTAGGATTATTGGCCACTGCCAATGGGCAAAACAGTAATGCATGACTTAAAATTTTTAGATTAGTCATAGAGAAGATTTTTCAGCTCCTGGAATTGCCATGTTTTCTGTAGAATTATTCATTTGCTTCATTAATAGGAAATCCTTTACACTTTAGTTTTAAACTAAGGGTTATTGGGAATGGTCTATTTGTATTTTGGAGTTAAGAGAGATTATTGACATTCACTAAGTGTCTTAGCTTGTTATTTCGGTGCATCTTAATTAAGTACTACATGATTAGGAAGAAAGTTAAATTTTCAGTTTTTAATTCATAGGTAGTATGACTTATTTCAACATCACTGAATCTCTTGTTTTTCACACACAAAAAACAATAACTTACACAATCTTCCCAAGTAATACATATAGGAAGACAGATTATTCTATAATTTTGTATTTGGTGCTTATTTTGTGTGATATTATGTATAATATGTATAACTGATGACAGATCATGAAAGTTAAAATAGGCTGGAGCTCTTGCTGTTA